TTTAAAAAATAAACTATTTATGTTCAGCATCAATGCCATTGCCAAAGCTTAGGACATTACTTTACCAGCAGCACCAGTCTGAACTACATTCACCCTCAATGACAAATACAATAAATATGACAGTTGGAATGTGCCAGCTAAAAGACCATGTCTTTAAAAGAGGTATGGCAGCCATTCTAACAGCAGCGTATCTCCTTGTTTCCTTTCTAATAACAGCTACTGACCTAGCTCAGGACTGCTCATTTGCACTACGTGTAAAGTCAGGCAGGTCTGTGAGATGCAGTGTTTACAATATCAGCTTAATACACTTAATACTGGGCCCAAGTATTAAAAAATAGTATCTTTTAGCTATCACATTTCAGGGGAAACAAACGTTTGAATGAGGAGCCAAGTGTTTCCTGTGTTTGGTGACTACTACAGACATGCAGCAGCTAATGTGTGCAATACACGGTGCCAGTGACGGAAAAAGCTGTTTTTCCTTCGCTGCTCTTCAAGAGAGCATTACCTGAATTAAAAAGCTGTCCATCCAAAGATGCAAATGTCTATAAATTGACTGAAAGAATCTACATCCCACCCCCCATTTCTATTGCCAACCTTCAGTTGTTCATTAATTAGCAGGGGATTGTTTTCTAGCTTTATGACATGCAAGGTTCCTTTAAATTCTTCTCCCCTTAGAAAGAAACTGCAGTGTCTTTTACAAGAAGGAGAAGGGAGAACAGAAGGGCAGCAACATGGTAAATGCATATAGAACTCTCAAATTCTTGAGACATGCAAGGAATACATATTTGGTTATCTCCCACGTCTATAATATCCGTTTCAAAACGAGGAACTGCAAGATTTTCTGATGAAAGTGTGATGTTCGTGTTTGCACCCTCTCTTTCAGCAGATACAACATTTCCTGTGGTCATGACCTGCTCTAAAGATGACAGGGAAGCTGCCGATTTCCTCAGGACTGTCAGTTCTCTGTGCTCTCCATGACTCAGGGTTGGGGGAATGGGACACCCAGAGCTTCCCCAGCCAGGTGCTCACCAGGGCAAGGAAGACTTGACCTTTCCCTGGCATTAGGAGCTTGAACTTTTCTCTGTGTTTGGGCTACTGCCAAGTGGCCACACGTTATTTATGGGATAGTTTGCCCACAGCAAGTTTCTTGTTTGGGTCAGCACTGCAGGGCGTAAAGCAAACACAGGGAACACTTAATCTGAAATAACAGACCAAGCGGTTGGAGGCAGCTGAGATTTTATTTCTGAACATTGGTTCTCTTGGGAATTCTGAGCCTAAGAGCATTTTTCCACATGTAAATGTGTGTTTAGTGTAACACAGTAAGTTCTTTGAGCCCTGCCTGGTAATGTTACTTGAAATAGCCTGCAATCTGACTGGGCGGAGCTGAAAGTTACTCCCTCCAGGTAGTATAAAAACCTCTGGGGCATGCATCTGCCCATAGGAACCCTCCAGTGCCTTCTGTCACAGCAGGTACCTGCAACCGCTGTCCAGCTAAGGTGCGTGACGTGCCTTTGTGTTCTCTCTGCTAACTAGCAGCAGAAATAACATTTGGCTGAATTCTTGTATTCCAGGTCAGCCCTTGCTAGCCCGCAAAACCCAGCTTACCTAACCCCTACTCTTGGTGAGGAGTGACTATCACTGCTGGTTTTCAGTATGTGGATGCATTTACCCCCTGTGGACTGAATTAGCATATAGGTTTATTATAGTGATGCTCCTAGCACTGACATTTCCTTTACTTCCTAGCATTTATATTATTATTTGTTTGTTTAGTGCATGATAACATGAGAAAATTGTGTGAGCTCTAGGAAACATGGATGCTAGTGCGTGGTATGAGTGCATGGCTAACCGTATCGTGCAAAGCATATGCTGCAATTGCATTTCCCATGTGAGCAAATGGAATTGGCTTTTGCCCAAGTAATTCAGACTAGAACAGACTACGCTGTGCAACTTTGTGCGGAGGTGAGAGAAACACATTTCAGCAGAGCTGTGCTGACAGCTGGAGACCCGGTGACACAGTACTGCTCACTAACCTACTTTTCTTTTGGACATGTAGCTAGATGTGAAAAGCTCTCTCCAAGCAATGGATTGTGGAAGTTTAAGTGCACAATAGGGGATAAACCATTACCTTAAAATTTATCATCATCTCACAATTTGCCATTCAGTGTTTGTATTGTTAGTTTTATGTGGCATTATTAAGCAGACATAATTTTGTGAATTACTTTTTCTTCCTTAGGTTCTGAAGAATCAAATATGATTTAGTACTTTATTCACAACAGTTTAAGACTACTAATGAAGTCAAGACTGGTTTAAAAATTTTGGAAAACAGAATTTAATTATTATTTCCCATCAGGACAGTTTGGAAAGAAGGCAGCTGCTAACATTCAGAAAGAGTCCACATAAGGGAACAGATTTTGGCTGCAATATTATTCAATCAAAATCCTTTTAGAGGTATAGCATTTGCAGTAAAATATGGATCAAAAAAATGTCAAAACAGTAAGAAACGTCAGGTTTTTTAATTCTAGAAGCACAGCAGCAACTTGACCATGTTACACATAACGCAAATACTACCTACTTGCAAATAGCTTACTCAATACTCACTTGGGTCTGTAGTCTTCAGGTGCGGTTTGTCACTTAAAATGATAAAATAAAGCTGTGCATCATTAAGGCCAAGACACTACCGAGATACTTGAAATTGTAAGATTAAATGTGTCCAGTAACTTGATTACATTTTATGGAAATAATTTAACAGTTATGGTGGCAGGATATGTATAAATATATATATCAAATTGTTTAGCAAAAGCTACACCTGTGAGAAGATAATGATATTACTACAGCATCTAGAAGCCCCAGCTTCTAGAAGCAGCGGTGTTGGAACCAGATGATCTTTAAGGTACCTTCCGACCCAAACCATTCTATGATTTTAAGAAGGGATTTAATAAAACCAGCGAAGTGCCTTTATAAATATTTAAGCAGACTCCTATTTTAGAAAAGCTCAAAGGACAAACCAGGAGAAAGCATAAGTTTTTAATTTGAATTTAACATTCAGTCTGTACCGAGTGATCACAGAGTATATATATTGTGATCAGCGATGCAATTATATTTCTTGCAAGTACATAACAGTGCATCAACAAGTGTATATTTATTAAGCGTGTTTCCAAGCCATTTCCTGGTAGTCACTGCTGCCCACAGCCAACTGAAATTCTGACAGAACTTGTCTAAGCAAGGAAAAAAATACAGAACTATCGCTTTCTATCCAGACTCACTAAACAAGCCCTTCTGGTTCTCAACATGAAACAGTACCAGAGACAAGGCAAAGTTTCCTCCTGCTATGTAATTTCAGGATTGGCTTTCCACCTAAACACCACAAATCTCATGCTACAAGAGCCTTACCAAAAAAACAGGAGCCCAACCAGCCAACCCCAAACCCCCAAATCTGAAAATGTGCTTTGCATGTTTAAACATGAGACATTCAGAAGACTGGGTCTTCAGGCAACTGTAGCCGTCACCAGTTCTGACAGATTCTTCTCTTTCCGTTACTCACCTTCCCAGTTACACAGGTCTTGATGTATTTTCCTAGAGATTTCCTTAATCATTGAAACACAACCAGATTTTACTCCAGCTCAAGGCATAAAAAAAGAGGCATTGCTGAAAACTGAAAGTATACTTTTGATTACCACTGCTGTTGTAAGGGGGCACGCTTTCATGTGTGAGACACAAACAGACGCATTCACTCAGATGTCATGTAACTGCAGCGTTAACTTAAGTCTCCTACCTACCATCATGATACCTTGAATTATATAAAACTTGTTACTAGCAAGCTAGAGGCCTTCTGAGGAAAAAGGTATTTAAAAAAAAAAAAATACATCTGCCAAAATCCATTTACTTTGGAGCACTCTCTTTTCTGAAACACTACAAAGCCACTGCCATGACTGAACAAATGCAGTGTCAGGAGTTAGAACACAAATCCTGTCCTTGCAAATAAATCCTGTCCTTATTCACCAATAAGCAATGTATCGGGTATCAGTAAAACTGCAATGGTGTCAATATTGTACGTACAAATAAACCACCCACACAAGTCAGCAGTCATTCTTGCTCCTTAAAAAACTACCTGTAGGCACTGCTGAACCTTCTGACCGCTACCAAACCTCTCCCCCTTCTGGCCAGGATATCCAGAACAGCCTCCTGCAACATGATGCAACCCAAATCATACAACGTTTTGGCTGCAGTGCATGTGGCTGGAGAGAGCAAACAAATACATGTTCTCAAGAATGAGCAGAGTAAGGCAAATTATAGGTAAAACCGGCACACTCCAGCCATCATGATATGTGGCAAGAGTGACTTGTACAGCTTCTGGCCAGAGCAAGTTACAAACCATTTGTTTTCCCTATTTATACATATGTACCTGTGTATGTATCTACACATACTCACAGGTGCTATCACTGAAGAAAACTCCAGTTATGCTAGAAGTTTCACTGGCATATTTCTCCTCAGGCAAATTCAGACCGAGCCCTACTCCTGCTTTTACTGCTTGTTAGCAGCATCAAACTGATCCTTTTTAGGTTGGGTGCTGCCCTGCACACCGGAGATGCAGTCATTTGTAACAAAAGAGTTCTCCAAAAAAAAGCTTACAGATTCAAACTTCTCACTGCAATTATTTCCTGGCTACAATCCGCATGTTCTACAGTTCAGTACATTTCAGGGTAATTCAGTTAGCTGTCCTGCAGGAAACAGGCAGAGAAAGCAATTCTACACAAGGAGACAAAATTAAGAGCACTGGCTGCAGCAAAAGAACCAGTTTTATCACAGGAATGTCAAGTCCTGAGTTCTTTGAGAAATGGTAAATCATGTATATAAGGTCATGGATGTTAAAGGACTGCTCATCTTTCTCAGCTATTGCTTTAACTGATAGAAGTACCATGCATGTAGCTCATGTTTCAGACTGATGAGTGGCACCAATTCAGTGACATGCTAAAATTTTGCATAAATGGTAAAATAAACATGATGAATATGATAAAACTTCTGACAGTACAACTACACTACAGAAAATGCTCGCAGCAAATTCCAGTGGAGTGGGGATGTCACCTCTCATCATGGCTTCCTGCCCCTTCCTCCCATCATTGAAAAAGCCCCAAAGCAAAGCCCACCCGAAGCACTGTCTGCTTCTAGTTATACATCGTAAAAAGAGAGTGGCTGCAAGCTCTCACATTGTTTTCTCCCTTCCATTTCAGCTTTTTTGACATGATATCTGCACAGCAGCCACCATTCCCCAACAAAATTCAAAGAGTAATGGACTGCCCAACTGACGAAGAAGAAACTTGCGAAGAACAGTATGGTTCTGAAAACTGCACTTGCAGCTCCAACCATGCATCATCAACAGCAGAATCCGAATCAGGTTTAATCCAATTTAAATATTGCAATTGCTATAACATGCTAGCATTTCATATTTAATTATTCTCTTTTCAGAGGTCACCATGTCAATCTTCCTTTTGATCTCTTATAATTTTTCCCACCATTTGCCCTTACATTTGTATTTATTATCAGACCAAATCACAAAAAGGAGTATCTCCATAATTAAGACGGATGTTTAAAAAGGCCTCCGGATTTTATTTAGACATCTGAGAATTACTTCTCAATTACACAGATATCATTATAATATGCATTAATTGGGCTGTCACTGTTGAAGCTGTGGTATTACACATTTCAACAGGCTAAACTGCTCAAACATCTACTAGGGATTCCAGGCAGGTGTCAAGTAAAACCTGTGCAAGCCAGAGCTAAATGTTTCTTTGAAGTTAATCATCTGTGCTTCCACCAACAGCACAGTCATTCAGAACCATGTCTTTGTTTTCACCGAGATCAGACAGAGCAGTTCAGCAGGGCTCTCCTGAAAAATCTCACCTACAAGCCTACTTGGTGCAATAAGACAGGATAGCATTACTGTAATACTGACTTGCTGAGCAACACTGTATATGTCGATGTATCCTTGGAGTATCTTACAGCCCTTCTTTTATGGAAGAATAAATAACCACAAAAAGGAGCTCCCTCCCCCCCCCCCCCAATGTAAGAGGAAAATCCTAACTCCTTTTTACAAAAGAAATTTCATGTTCTAGATGAAAACTACAAGTACAACCCCCTGCACGGCATACTCTGGCATAGTATGAACACCCCAAAAATACAGGCTAATTTAGCCCTGAAAGTCTTTTAGTGGTTATTAGCAGATTTATGCATTTGAATCAGTATCTTTTCTAAAAGCTTCATTTCTATCTGTAAATTGCCCATACAAACACTCAGAATGGCAGGAAATGACCATTTCTCCTTTCAGTCCCTGGCCAGATAGACCATCAACTTCTGGATAACAACCAGTCTCAAGGCCAATGGCCCAACAGGTTTCCTAGCCCATGTGCCTATGTATTTTTTTATATTTAACAAGCTCCATACCAACACCTGCATGTAACAATACAGATTTCATCTTTTCTCTCACAGATTCACCAGTAACTCTTAAAATACTACAGAGCTGGGCTCCTCGGATTTCGCACTACTTCGATAAAGAGCACTACACGTATGTTGGCCACCAGATCGTCATTCAGGAGTCCATAGAACATTTTGGAGCTGTGGTATGGCCAGGGGTAAGTACATGACACAGAACCCAGAAAGCTGACACAACGGAAGAGGAGTAAACCATGACAGTGGCACGCAAACATTAATGAAGCTTTCTTAGAGGACACTTTGGACAGCAGAGGTTTCCCTATGCAGAACAAAGTTGTGAGAAAATTCAGGAGAAAGCTCTGCCTTATGCTAATTTGCCAGCTCATGTCAAAAATACTGTGGCACCCAAGTATTTGTGAATTGGATGCAGATACTGAAAAAAAATTAAGAAAGGGAACTTGCGAAGAAGTGTTCAGCTTTCTCCTTGTTTTCAATTCACTGCTGGGAAGTAAACAATCAGCAGTACACAAAAAGGAAGCTGAAAAAGAAAACAGATTAAATAAAGGAGGTTAAAAAATTAAATACACTTCTAAAGAGCAGGCTGGAACAGTTCCATTACAGAATGGAAAACTGTACTTGCAAACAGTTCTTCAGTCTTTGCTTCTCCTGCTCTTAACACCAGAATTTTATGTGAACTGAGAACACCGCCTTTGGGGGAAACAAGGGTCAACTGATAAAGACATGAAAATTAGGATTTCAAAATTTTTTCAGATCCACATTTATTGAAAAAGCTCACAGAAAATGGCAATTTCAAAATAATAGAGAAAAGAAAGCATATGGGTGAGTGAAACAGTATCGTATTTTGAAGTGTCAGATCATCAGTTCTCACATTAATCAGGTGTCAGAATGCAGATGGTAAAACTCTCCAAGAAAATTGAGAGGTTGCACGAAGTGGCCTGGTGATTCATTAGCTGTCAGCTTTCCCAGAACAGGTAGCCAGTGTTGCATTATGAAAAGCACAAGAGTTAAAACAGTAACACAACTCTAAAGAAGAGAAGCAAAGGGGTGAAGGTAGTTTCTTTGGCATTCCTTTATGTTGTTCATAAAAAGCCAATAAATATTCTATTGATAAGATTTTAACAAAGGTCTGATAAGCAATACATCAGTGCTGGTTTTTAGTGTTTGGCTTTTTGATTTTTAAAGCTTATACCATTACCAATAGACCAGTGTTGAGTTGGTAAATAACAAATCTTTTATATTTCCTTTGCAAAAGAAAAAAAAAAATTGTTCTCAAAAAAAGTTCTCAAAAAATCTCTGCTGAAGCCTGACTCTACTTTATCACAGTGATAATAAACCATAACATTTATGATAATAAACCAGAACATTACAATTTAGATATTGTTGAACCTCCTGTGCTGTTCTGACTGCACGGTTCTCATCTAAACACTGCCTACCTCAGGCTGTGAGAGGACTCAGAGTGTATAAATCTGTAGCAAATCCATATTCCATAAACCCAAACCTAAAAATAAGTGGTTTATATTTTTTAATATAAAAAACCCAGGATACATCATAATTCTTTCCATATAACATTTTTACTTTACAGCCTTTAGTATTTTTCATTGTATATAAAAAAAACAAACCAAAACAACAAACCCTGTATAAAAACATCTACTGAATTTCTATGCAACTTACCTGTTACCCTCGTATGGATATGTGTTAACTGTTTTAGGCACTGGCTTTATCTCAGTATCTGGAATCAAATCAAGAACAATTCAACCTCAAAGACAAAAAAGTTTTGGAAATTGGTGCTGGAACAGGCTTAGTTTCCATTGTGGCCTGTATCTTAGGTTAGTAAACTCATATTTCCTTTTGCGTTTCTTGTGAAAGATGATCTAGATCTGCCACTGTCTCTTTAAGGCAATAAAGCAACAGTTTTAGTAAACTTTGTCATTGCTTTTTTAAAAATGAAAAGTACTGTAAAATACTGTTTTGTTAAGAAAGAAACTACCCTAATTATTGGTGAGGGGGAAGCTGGGGAACTTATGCAGATAGTTTTACATATGTTTATGTTCAACTGCATACCTGTGAACTGAAATAAATTCATGTTGTCTTCAGGAGCTTATGTTACGGCTACTGATTTGCCTGAAGTTCTTGAAAATCTCTCATATAATATTTCAAAAAATACACAAAACATGAATATGCACAAACCTGAAGTGAGAAAACTGGTATGGGGAGAAGGCCTCAATGAAGACTTTCCTCTATCCATTTGCCATTATGATTTCATACTGGCAAGTGATGTTGTATATCATCATGCAGCTTTGGAAGATCTGCTAGCAACAATGGTGTATTTTTGTAAGCCAGGAACAGTATTACTATGGGCAAATAAATTCAGATTCACTGCAGACTATGAATTTTTGGAAAAACTCAGCAATATATTTAACACAATGATTCTAGCAGAATTTCCAGAATCAGATGTCAAGCTGCTTAAAGTTACAGTAAGAGAGAATTAAAGAGAAAACTATTCCTAAGTTTGATTTAGTGTCAGCACGTCACAGTTTGGAATGCTTTGCAGCATTAGGGTGCATCTTCTGTGCATTTATGTTTGTAAAGCTGCAATTGTATCCAAGTGTTGCATTTTAAGTTATGAAAAAAATGGCAAGAAAAATGATAAAGCAGCTTGTCTCTGGTTGATACATGTGACTTGTTCAAACAGACCAATTTCACTCCACTGAAGGAACAGTATTAGTAGCAACCATTAGTAAAGTCTTTAACAGAGAGCACTGATCTTCTGGGATGCATTGAACTTCAGTTGTTTGTATGGTGTTTTCTTCCAGCAAGTTTCATTTATATACTCTTTCAGAAACCAATGCAATTTATAGCTTTATAATTTGTTTTTATTAATTATAAAATAATCTTTTAAAGTATCAGAGCGCACATGGTGTTTCTTGATCTTCAGCTTTGCACATTTATTCTGCTGTGGTTTACATTTTAAACATTATTAAACATATACGTATAGCTTTACAATACCTGCTTGAGATTTAACTGTCTGGCATGTTTATATACGTATCAGCCTGTCCTGATACCCTGCTTCATGTGGATTTTTGAGTTTGCCTGAAATCACCCCAAAATGAAGATTTACAAGAGCACCTATGCATCAGCAATTCCGATTTACACACTGTAACATTTTGAGAGGTTGAATTTTTCTTTAAAAAAAATAAAAATTATATGTAAACTCTTGCAAACAATCCAGGTAATGATGTCCCATTACTTTAGTCTAATAAATAAGATATTAGCTACTCCTGAAGTAGCTTTAAGGCCTTCATACAATCGAAATTAAGATCAAACATGTTAAAATTCAGTTTACTGTAAAAAATATGGAGCTTTTGCAGGTTTGAAGTTAAAAGTAACAGTTAAGAACCAAAAATGCATGCAGTAAGCCTTTCCAGCCTAATTCCAAATCCTTAAGTGTTGGCAGTTCTGGCATGTCCATTGCCAGCAATGGGATGCACAATAAGGAAACTTCCTGATGACAGGAGTTAGGTTAACCGGTATTAAGCTGTACCCAGGTGCCTCTACTGATAAATACACACAATTTAATAATCAGCATTCAGTAATGAAAACATGCATTCCAATAAAAAGTCAAACTTATCTTTTAATATCCTGACCCATATAAAATCACTTTAAGTTTACAATTGTTGGTTTTCTAGAATACACAATAATCAGGTGGATACATGACAGGAAGCCAATTCTCAGTGAAATTTGCACAATGAGTCCATCCAAGCAACTTCATTAGCTGAAGAAAAAAAAAAAAAAGCAAACATTAAAAACAATGAGAAACTCTAGGGTCTCACTCTTTCTAAAAATCAAGCACTGCATTGAAATCAACATCTTACTAAATACATCTATTATTAGAAAGCTAACAGGCTGGAGAACCGGTGATCTCCTACTTGCTCCTGAAAGGCAAAAACCATTTTATATGATCTACAGTCTTTCAACTCAACACACAAAAATTTTGTCCCAAGAGTTACACTAATTCCCATTATTTCTCTACCTATGTTCTACTAGCAATAATTGTGATTAATAGTAGTAAAAATAACAGTGGTTAAACAGCAACATAATGGGATTTTAAACATGCAGAAAATCTTTGGCTAAGTTGTCTCTGCTGTCCTTTACGCCCCAAAGCAGGTTTGAGAATGTAAATTGCTAAAAATGACAGTTACTCACAAAGTAGCTATTCCAGAAAAAGAAAGAAGAAATCGCTATTAAAAATGGAGGCCAAGCCACTAAAGCCTGGATAAAGTTAAAATTTAAAGCTGTATTTAGTGAGTTCTACAGTGTACCAAAAATTCAGAAAGACCTGTATCTTACTTTAAAAAGCTTACGTAGCATAAGTACAATGCATTCCTTTACCAAATACCTTACCTGGATGCAGTTTTTCAAGTTGTCCTTTGTTGGCTTCTCTTCCGCAAGCTTTGTGGCAAACTTGAGACCTCTCCCATACATTTTATTTACCAATGCATGCTTATAGGCAAAAGTCAAAACCTACAATGTGAAAACAAAAATAAATCAGATACTTCAATATTTTAATCTTACCAGGCTTAAAAAGTAATAGCAGATTCTGTTCAGGTAGCAGAAGTGATTTAAACAAAGTACAACACTTACACAAGATAGTTTGCATTTCTTTTTTTTCCAGTAAAACGGACAATTCACAGGAGTAATAAACATGAACTTTCTAGAGACTATTTCTGACTTCATGAACATATTTGACTTCAGAACATCTTATGTAACACAGATGTCCCTATTCTAATTCTTTATTCATTACATTTCTACCTTCTTTGGATTTTCATTCTCTAGATGCAATTGTATGGTATTAAAGAAAAAAAAATAAATATCAAGAACCAGGCAGGTATATCTTTGACCCACAGAAACAGACCCAGCTGAGAAGTTGGATTCCTAGTAAGTCACAAACTTACTGTAGAAACAAGTATGAACATACATAGTGAATGATACACACACACACACACACAGAGAAATGCACATAATTATAAACAAGCAATGAAAACAAGTAAGCATGGAGACAAGCCTCAAGTCTGGGGTCAGCTCCTCGCTACTGGTAATTTATTAAGAAGATATTATAAAAAGCTTTCTTTTGATAACATTAATTCTAGAGACAGCTTACAATATTCATCAATACTATAATTAACACGTGCAAATAAATGTATCTATTTAAGACCTAATGTAAAATAAATCAGGTTCTTAACACCCAAGCATTGACAGTGTTCAGGGTGTTGCAAGGTAGTTCATACCACTTCACCAGTCACAGCACTAAGAATTAGTGCAATCAAGACATGGTTTCATATATTCCCTTTGGAACACTATCAATGTTCCACTGTCCGAAACCAGGACAAACACTCATAGTAAATAAAGGGTTTCTTTTTTTTTTTACTGAAGAGCGACATACCAGTAAAGTTGGTTAACATGGTGGTCTTTCTGTTGCTGGCAAAGTTTATGAAATCTCGTATTAGTTCGTTATTCATTTCCCCTCACTCTTTATATCATTTCAAACAAAAGTTACATTTTCCCAATGCCCACTTAAAATATCCCTTTAAGAAAAGCTAACAAACACGCTTCAAGGATGTTCAGAAATAAGTATTTTGCATTAAAGCAAAGAAAAAAAAAATAACTATCATAAGAACCTAAACCATAAAGGAATCTGAGATCTGAATCCCGCAAGGACTGAAGAACCTGCCTAATTTTATCTGCCTGAACACTGCCACTGAATGTCAATCACACGCACAAGGCTTTGCAGGATCAAATGGAGCTAACAAAAAAACAAAACAAAACCAGAAATAATTTACTAATTATCAAGCAAATAAAGATGTAATTCTGAAGCTCTAAAGTATATGCCAAGCACTTTGAGTTGCTATTTCTTATGTCTTCAAGTACTTTTTTTCTTGTGTTGAGGTGTTCATACTTAAGGTGTCATAGCTTAAAACACACACATATGCAACAATGAGTATACAGCACCATTCACATAGAGATTTTCCAAATGCTGCTATTGGAAAAATACTTTGCATGCTGCATTCTCCATCCAATTATTTTGGATATTTTCTTAAAGCAAAACACATTAGCAAACACTTTTGAATAACTGCTCAGTGGATCCATAAGCAGCTTTAGTTTGTTAAACTAAGCTTATAAAGAAAACATTAATTCCCTTCTATAAAAGATGATAGAACCACAAAACAAAAACATAACAAATAAAAAGTAAAATGAAAAATGCATCTGAGCTCTCAGCAAATATAACATATTGGAGGCTATCCAGAAATAATGTCACTGCTCTATTAAGAAATCTCTTACCTGACCCTGTAAGTTTTGAATGGTTATTGAACATCAGTGATAAAGGCAGGAGGAAAGCCACTTGACAGCATTTCTTTCGTAACAGGGCTTCCTAGAGTTTTTGTGGCAAGAAAACAAAGCATTTTACGAAACACCCTTGCTCTGGCCGAATAAAAGTTTGGGTATTTCTAAATGAGAGAAAAGTTCTCTGCTGGACCAAAAGTTTGAAAACAATGCTCCAAAAGCACTTGATAAAAGACAGTAATTTCTGTTTTAGTGCTTGGAAAAAAAAAAACCCAACCCAATCCACTGCATACAAGTTAAGTAAAAATACTAAAGGTTCATTAGCACTTCAGAAGTTAAGAATAATGCATGAGATTCTTAATATCAGAATAGGTTTACAAACAAAATATGTGAGGTAAGAAATAATGCTTTATATCTTATACACATATTGGTCAAATTAAGCCTTAAATTAAAATATTGCAAGCTTTAAAAGATCACAGAAGTGAAGACTGTAATTCCTTGATACATGTAAACAAAATGTAAACTGGAGTGCTATTAAGATGTAACCAAGAAAACAGCTGCTATTTGAATGTATAATAACAGCAAGTAAAACAGTCTGCAGTATCTAAAAGCAGTTGCTAGATGAAAGAACAGGAATGAATTCTAAGTATTTGGTGTTATTTCATAATTTCAATAAATATAATTAAGACTAGCTTTTACAGGACAAGTGACATGGCCCAGAAATTGGCCAAAGAGCGATAAACAAAGGGTTGTAAGAAAAGGCAATGCATACTTAGAGGATACTGGCAAGGCGGTGGGAATCACTGATGGATATTTTATTGCCCAAGGCAATGGTCTGCAGTGCTAAGTGTGTGAAGAGCCAGACCCATGGAAGAGGTTGGATGTCCATGTCCTACATAGCTGCTTAACTTGCCATTGGCTACAGAAAGATGCTTAGTTAGGTCAGTAAAATGCTGAAACCATCTGTCCTCAGACATTTGCCATTTGCAGGGCCAAAGTATTCAGAAGCCTGAAACCACTTTTTGAATCCAGCAACACTAAACTATCTAATTAAACTTTTCTAGTATCCCAATACTGTTACCTATTGAGAAGAAAAAAAGACTTGAAATAATAAAGTAACTGATTATACAATAGTTGATCAAAATATATC